AGAACAGGGACATCTATATTTTCAAGGATAAAATGACACCTGAAATTGCAATCCTATCATAAAAATGAGTTGCAATAAAATTACACTCCATTGCTTTCCAGAGTCACTGAAAACTATCTGCATAAAATAACTGGATTAACCACTCAAAATGTTAAAGACAAAGGTAAACTTTGTTCAATCACAATGTTTATTTTGTTTATTAGTCACACTGAAATGTTCTGTGAAATTAAAAAATAGTATAATTATTTGAACCAAATTGAAATTCAATCAGAATTATCAATCTCATGGGTTTCTCTTTTCATACGCAAACCCCCAAAATACAGGGATTCAGGTACAGAAAATAAGGACAAAATGAAGTCAAATAAGTCATTGATTTTGATTTCAGTGAGGCACACAAGCGCCCCCCTTGCTCACAAAATGGAGAATCACACAGGCCAGTCATTTCAGAGCAGGAACAAAACCTTAATTCTGCCCAAACCACCTAACTCCTAGTTCTTTTGAGAAATTTGCCATTGCCTTGGAGGGTGAACCTGGATCTTGAGAGAGGAACAAACCTCCAGGGACAGTGGAAAATAAACCTAGTCAGTTATTCTGATGCAGGTCTTAAAAAATGCAGAGATTGTATGTGGTGCTTAAGGAGTTCCCAGGCTGTTCTGGATTTGACATTTCAGCTACAGGGGACGTGTGTGGCTGGGTGAGAGCTGTGTCTGCCTCCAGCCCAGTGCTGCTGGGGAGTGCCCTGGAAAAGGCCCAGGTTTGCTTGGTATCAGTCTGCACCAGTAACCTGCCCTCCACTTTAGCACTGAAAGATGATCAAATTAGAGTGTTATTACCAGCAGTGAGAGTAGTTTATTTTTAATTTTTTAAATTTATTTTTTAAGGAAACATTGGCTTATAATTATTGCTGTTAATTTGGAAGTAGAATGTAGGATCCCTTCCACCCTGCTGTATTGCCATGGTAGTGCACCCACCACCCAAATCACCCATAGTCCCCCAACATAGTCCATTGTGCTCCCCTCCCTCTTTATTTTCCTCCATCCCCTACCCCCACCCCCATGCTTCAATTCTATAGCCAACTTTCAAGGGTTAGTTTTTAAGCTTGTCTTTATCTGACCTTAGTTTGATTTTTGAAATTGCACTGTCTTATTTCAGTTAACATGTCCCATCCAGCTTCATTCATGTTGCCGCAAATGACGTGAGTTTATCTTTTTGATGGCTGCGTAGTATTCCATTATGCAGATGTACTGCATCGTCTTGATCCACTCACCTGTATTGGGCTCTTAGGTTGGCTGTTGTAAATAGTATTGCAATAAACATGGAAGCGCAAGTTTCCTTTCACTTGCACTTGTTTCTGCCAAGAATTAAACAAAATTGGAACAAACCTTTCCCTTACCCATAAAACCAGGCACTGTTTCTGCAGTGTTGGAACTACTCATAACGTGTGTGTTCTTCTTTATTTCAGAACACAGATCTGACCATATAATTCTTCTATGAAACTTCAGCATTTCTTGGCTTGGTGTTTAAACATTTCCTTCAATATTTCTTGGTTCATTACTTCTGAGACTTGCTAATCTGGCTTAGTGCTGCACCTTTGCTATCTCTTTGCACGTTTTCTCAACATCCTTGATTTATTGGCCATATAAGGTTATTTACAGTCTCCAACTTTGACATCATTTTATGCTGTGGCTTACAATGTTACTTCTACCATCATCCATTTGTCACTGATGCTCGTTGTTCAAGGTCTATCACAAATATTAGACACTCCTGTCATATTTCTCAACTCTTTGAAGCAAAATTCAGTGAAACCCTTAACATTGTTTCTTCAGTAATTTTTATTTCTTTTATTTTAGAATTTACCATGTGATAACTAGTGAAATAGCAGAGTTTACTGTTTCTTGTGCTAAAGCTTGTGTTTTTTTGAGGGTCAAATAGCATTTCTCCAGGCAGGAAAATATTTAAGATCTGCAATGTCAAAATGTTAGATAATTTATTCACATTCATGGCAAATCATGAATATAATGACAGCAGCGAACTGCAGAAGAAGACTAGAGAAGGGACCTGAAGTCTTCTGTGAATGAAGAGAGTGACCAGAGGCAGGCAGGTGACCACAGGCTAGAAAGCAATGGTGATCTAAATGCATGACATGAGCCCCTACAAAGGAGTGGTTTGGGCAGGAAGTAGGGCAGCACTGCATTAGAAATGACCACATGAATCAGGAAGTAATGTCTAGGCACACCTACGAAAGGTAAAAACCCCCTTCATGTGAAAAACCTTCAAAATAATATTCAGTGGACAATTAGGTTTTAGTTAAGAGAAATGAGGAGAAAATTCTCATAAGATGGGGGGTAAGGAGGAAACTGCAATGGATCAAGGACAATGGAAGGGTTTGAAAGGGAGGAGAAAGGAGAGGGAGTGGGTCAGACTAAGTGCACAGATGCAGATGGAACCTGGGTGGGTTGGTTTTGAACAGAGGATACTGGTGTGAGGCACAGTGTGATGGTCTTGATATGATCGCAGACAACTGGACCAGTTCCCACAGTCTGAAATGCCCTCTCTGTGATATGGTGGCTTCTAGAACTATGACTCTGACTTCTTGGGGTGTTGATGACTCATATGAGCTAGGACTTAATCCTTAATCCTTTGTAGGCTGCATAATATAGCAAATAGGTTTACCTCACTAGACTTGTTTCCTTGCGAATAGCAAGAAGATTAGACTCAGTAATCCTGAAGATTTATTCTAGCCACTTTTCTAGAATTTTGTTTATCTTTTCAGTGAGTATAGGCAATTCATATTTCTTGAGTTATTTTACCAGTTTAAAGAGGACTACTTCCTACAGCTTAAAGGAAGAATCAATTATTTTGTACCTTCATGCAAGAAGAATTTATTGAACACCTACTCTGTATCTCACAGTGATGAGTTATAAAAGAAACATAAATTCTGTGCTCTCTAAGATCTTTCAAGCTATTGGGAAAGGTGACATAGACTCAGGAATAAATGGCATCTGTTCAAGCCTATGTCTTCATATAAACTTTTAAAATGAGACACTACAACCCCACCCAAGTCACTCCCTCTTAGACCAATACCCCTACGACATTCATCATTTTTATTTGCGTTTATTTTCCCCTGAGAAAGTTCAGGAGAGAGAAGTGAAAAGATATTTCTTGGTCTCTGTTCATGGAAAGCTGAAAACATCCATGTTGCTTGGAACTGATTGAGTCTCAGAATTATTGCTTAGGTGACCAGACACCTCCTCACTATAAAACCACAGCAGAGAAGCACTAGAGACAGGTCAGAAGACATTTGTTTTTAACATTTGCTCAGACATTAATTCATTGCATGACCTATGAAAAGTCACTTCTTGTCACTGAGTCTTCCTCCTTGGCACAGAGAGAGGTTTGGAGTAGAGGATTTAAATTTCCTTCCTACTTGAACAGCTGTGGTTCCATGAGTCTGTCTTTGAAGTGCTGTGATCAGTTTCCTATTGAACTAGCTCGTAGGTCTTCGAATAAGTTGGAACTGAGGTCAACTGATATAGTGGGTCCTCTATTCAAACTCAATTCTTTATAATGATAAAATACTGTTTGGGTAATTTCCAGAATTGCTTTTGTTTCTATGCCTAGACATATGTCTAGAAATAGAGAGAGGTGAGAAGGAGGACAAGGTACAGAATTTAGCAACAGTAATAGTTCGTGCATTTGGTCATATTGTTTTGTGGAAAACATATTCTTAAATCTTGGGAACCTGAAGAGGAAAGCATTAAACATATTCCAGTACTGACTGCAGATGAATTCATGACCCAACGGGTCCTAGGAGGTATGTGATGGCACGTGTGACCCTGAAGTGTCTTGTCTGTGGAGTGCCCTCCATCAGCTGTAGACCATCCATGGGCCAACTTGGGCTAGGAAAATACCACCAGTGAATGAGGTTTTCTAGTTAGGTGACAAAGCAAGAGGTGGTGTTATCTATTTATTTTGTAGTTTAGCTGAGTATGGTCATTTGTCTATACCACCTCTGTGCAACTTTAGTGAAGTGCTTTAATTGTTCAGAGTTTCCACTCCTTCATTGGCTAGAGTCAGCAAGTCAGCTTGCCGGGGTGGTTTTCAGAATTTTATGAGATATTTGTGAAAACATATTTCAACTATTAAACACTATGGGTATGTTGGTTATTATATCTAGTTGGATAAGTAATGGCCCATAAAATTATTTTTCTTTCTCAAGTCCCCAAAGACAATAATTTTCTGTATACCAGATTTTTTGGTCATCATTGTCTTGTGAGTGTGATTTATTCCACCTACTTATAGTAAATTTGCCAATTTGGTAGCTTTGGATCAGATTGCTTGAATTTTCTGTAAATCTATACTGAGCAAGTCTCTATTATTGTTGGAATTCCAGATCATTAATTGATGCTTAAAGCTGCCAAGACTTTCCCACAATTGAAGAAATAAGCATGAGAATCAGACTTACACTTAAATTTTTTTACATTTGCTCATTTAAATCTGATCCTCAAAGTATTTGTTTTACTCATTATGTCACCTAAGTTTCCTCAAATAAATCAGGACCCAGTCAACACTCAAGTCCTGAGGTAATTGTGTGCAGTAATATTCACATGTCATGATGCCTACAAGTGTGTGTGTGTGTGTGTGTGTGTGTGTGTGTGTGTGAACTTACAGGGTTCCTTTTGTCTGTAATTGCAACTATTATTTCATTTATGATCCATCTATGAATGGATCTGAAATGATGATATCTAACCAGGATAGTTTGTTTTCATGTATCAGCCTTATCTGAAGAAAACAGAATGAAAAATGAATTGGATGACTATATTCTAATATATCACCACAGAAATATATGTAGTATCCTTCAAAACTAATACATGATTTCAATGGAGTAATCTCAGGAAACAAGTAGGCATCTGAGTATAGACATTAGACAAATTAATGTCTATCCTGATGTTAATTAATGATATTTTTTAAGCAAGTCTAGGGCCATAGGACAGAGGACAGATGTGATTATGTTCACTGAGAAGTCAGCAACCCTGTCTGCTTGAAGTCTGTGCTGTATTTTGTTATGAATAACTGTCAGGAAACAAGGTAAGAAGTAAGAATTCAGGCAAAGTAAACCTACATTTATTAACAAAATTATTTAAGGTGTTGGAGGCTAGGGAACCTTCCTTTAATGTTCTGACCTAAGAGGGCTTCACACAGAGAATTGATAGGTAAGGTTGGGGCCTCCCTGGTCATGCAGGGGTTAAGTTTCAGTGCTATAAAGCCATCACCGGTCACTGCGGGCCTGAGTTAGATCCCTGGTCAGGGAGCTGACCCACTTGGCATAGCAGACCTCTCTTGTCTTGCCCACTGCTCCCCTCAGCAGTGTATTTCAGTAGATCTGCCTGCTCTGCTCCCCACTCTGTCTCTGGTGAATCCTCTCATCCCCCACACCTCTGGCCTACACCCCAGTTATTGCATGCATAAGTAAATAAAATCTTTTAAAAAAAATTGATAGGCAAGGAGAGCTCACTTACTCTCTGCCTGAACTTTACTTTGGGAGTTGGATCTATACTGATGATTTCATTCATCAACAGAGATGATGGAATCACAGAGAAGTTGCAAGACTGATTAATACTTTATCCTAATTCCAACTTACTTTTTTCCCCCATACCACCAAACAATTCTCTAACACCAGCTGGGTGTCCTTGGACATCAGCTGGTCTCAGACACTAGCAGAGAATTCAAGGCAACTTGGACATTATACCCAGACACAATATCAGGTTCCACAGATTAAAGTCTTAGTCCCAAAGGTTGCCCTCTACTTCCCTTCCAATTGCAAATCCAGGTTGTCACCTATGCTTCTGACAGGCTGGGCATAAATCAAAAGTTCCCAGGATCCCTTTATTGGGTTTGATTAATTTGCTAGAGCAGCTCATAGAACCCAGAAGACTATTTTACTTAACAGGTTACTAGTTTGTTGCAAAAGGTTATAACTCAGGAACAGCAGGATGGAAGAGATGCATGGGGTGAGGTCTAGAGAGGGTCTAGAGCTTCTCTGCTCTCTCTAAATGCACACAATCCCCAATGTCCTCATATTCACCAACCCTGAAGCCCCCTGAATCCAGTCCTTTAGGGTTTCTAAGCAGTATTTATTACATAGGCATGGTTGATTAAAATATTGGTCATTGGTGATGGCCAATAATTTCCAGCCCCTTTTTCTTCCCTGGAAGGTAGAGGGTAAGACTGACAGTTCTGACAACCATCCCCTCTTCTTTGGTGAGGTCCAGTAGTCATCTTATTTGCATAATAAAAGATACTTTAATCTTTCTAGCATTTTAAAGAAATTCTACAGTTTTAGGAGCTTTGTGCCATGAAAAGGGATGGAAACAAAATACGTATTCCAACACTGTGTGACTAGCCCTGTGCTCTTAGGCTGACAAGTGGACAGGAACAGAGGAGCGAGCCTATGAGAGTGGTGATTTTGAACATCAGTGAAGTAGCAGTAGTGGACACCATAAAATCTGCTACATCTCCCTTGAGGCGGAGTGAGCAAAGGGTAGAGAGTCAGAGCAAATCAAGTTTCACCTCAATGCCCACTGTGGATGGTAAATGAGAAGGACAAAGATTTTTTCCCACCCAGAGCTCATGAATGAGTGCTTGGGAAGGGACAGAAATGTCCAAGAAGTGTCCCTTGCCTTAAAGGAACTAAGGGACCTATAAAAACAACATCACATGTTGATTTTTTTTTTTTTTTGTATTTAATGAAGACCAAAAAATTCTATGAAATGACATCCTTAAAAAATGTGTATGACATTTAAATACTTTAAGTCCTTAAGTCCCTCTTAAATCCTTAAGATGGATTAGAGGAAATTCTGAGTGGACAAGGCTGGTTGTCATTTGCAGGGCGGGGGGATAGGAATACATTTTCCTGCAGTTGCTCTTATCCACAATAATGAGAACAAAATTTCCTGGGACAAATTCAGTAGATGTGTTCTGATAATGGGGTGCAATATTTCAAGCAAGGACTGACCTAGATAACCCATATTGTTTGACTTCTTTTTCCCATGGGCCATCACCATTTCCAGCAGCAGAGAAAGCAAGACCCTGACTTGCTCAGGAGTTTCCTCCAGTTATTTGGTCCAACAGGTTAATGCCAAGGATGGTTGGGAACGGAATAGCCATCTTTAACGGTGGTCTTAAATGACACCCAAACTCAGGGTACGCCATGTAAAATACTGTCATATTTTAAAACAAGTGGTGACCATGGTTCTGAAGGGACAGTATCTACAAGATTTTTTGAATCATTTAGTTTTCATCCAGATGTGTGGGGTCACAGAGATATCAAGTACAATGTAATGAAAGTGGTGGTGTCCTGAGCTCCTTCCTACAGTAGCCCAGAGCCTAGAGCGTACTGAAAGTGTCTGACAGCTTGCAGTTTCAGCCACATGGGGGATTGTTTCAGGTCAGAAAAACCACGGAGAGACTCTTCAAGGTATTGGAGTTTAAACTGCATCCACCATGTACCCCATTCCCAGTTTTCCTCTCTGTCAGGAATGATGACTCCCCAGATATCCATGATGAAAGGTAGAAACCCTGAGATGTATCAACAGAGTGCTGAAGCCTCTCACACTTGTAAAGAACAGGAATATTGAAGGAAATTAAAAGTCTTCGCAGAAACCTACCAAGACAAAATCATTTTATAGAGTTTTTAAGAGATTGGTTTGAGACATTGTGACCTCAAAGTAATAGACTTTCCAAAGGAAGAAGCTGCCCAGATATGAGGCAAAAAAAACAGACTGTGGAGAGCAGACAGGACCAGACTAGATTAACTAGGGGTGATCTACACCAAACTACTAGGAAGAACTAAGAGGAGGGTGTGGGAGGTAGTCCATGGAAAGGGTTGCAATTTGTGAGAGACAAGGATCCTCTTTGAGGAAGTGAAAGCTAACAATGATGTGAAAGAAGAGAGGGAATGAGGGTCACAGATTTGGGGAGCAGCCACATCAGTGAACCACCAGCACAGAGCCCCCGAGTAGCTCCTATTGACCCATCTATCACCAGATCAGGACCGCAGGCAGGTTTCCCTGATCCATGAGAACCTTCTTCAAAGTCTACCTCCCACCAAATGCAGCCATATTGTGACAATTTCTGCAGTTTTATCAAATGAATCTGGGATGGGGACTGAAATTAATATTTTATGAAATGGGGGAGCATTTTAAGCTTCTCAGTTGCCTCTTTGGGGGAACCGCAGTCTAAATCAAAATAAGAACACCCTCCAAATAAGCTGAGATTCATTCAACCTCTGCTTAAGCATTTCCAGTAATGGGAAGCGATCGACTCTTTTAGAGAGTTCACTCCATAAAATATTTATAACATTTAATTAATTTATTCATTTATTCAACAAAAAATGTGTATCCTTCCTACTGTGAGTCAGGTCCTGGGGGTGGAAAAACACATGTTCTGTGCTTTCATTGTTTTTGTGTGTTTGTTTCTGATTACAAAATGGATGTGTTTTCCTTTCAGGCAGACTGGAAAACACACAGAAGGAAAAGCTACTCTTCATCTTGCAGGTAACAATGTTAATATTTTGCTATTTCATTTTTTTCTCTCTATATTTAAAAGGTTAGATGTCTATTTCAACTAATAATGTATAAGTAATATTTCTCTAAAATATATTTCTACAAAATATTTTTCTACTATGCATTTTAAAAATAATAGTTGAGTATTCCTTTTTATATATGTAATATATATCATGTATAAGTATACATGTGTGTATATGCATATATACATTTTTATATAATATATAATGGCTATTTAGATGATCTCAAAATGTATGCTACCACAAAAAATGCAATTAAGTCTATAAACTTTTTCCAGCATTTCTAATTATGCAGGTAAATGTCTATAAGTAGAATTTCTGAATGAATAGATATAGGCTTTTAAGTCTTTTGAATATATTGCCAAATTGCGTCTCCAGAAAGAATGATCCAATTTCCATCTCCATTTCAATTATATAAAAATATTCATGTTTTCATACCCTTGGCAATACTGGCATTTCATTCTTTTTATTAAAAAGCTATAATTGCTAGAAAGTTCTCTCCTGCACTGAGCTCAATTTTGCCTATTCAAATCTTCACCCTATCGATCTGACTTTTGTCTTCTGGAGCTTTGTGGAGTAAGTTCAATTCTCCTTTAAAGTGAAATTCAAACATTTTATAATAATTCTCATAACTGCATTGAGCTCTGCCCCCATTTATCTCTCTTCCCTATAATAATTATGCTCTTAACCCATATTCTTGACTCTCCGCGGTTCCAGTCTCACTGTTCTAGATAAGCCTTAGTCAATCAAAGTCTTTCTCTTAAAATGTGGTGGCAAGAATTAAACCAAGGTCTGTCACTGCCGACCTTCTTTGTTTTGAACAAGATGCTTTTACCTGGTGCAAGCTGACAGGCATTAGCTTTTCTTGGCAACCATATGCACCACTGGCTCATAAAGAGATTGCTATCAATCAAAGTTCCCAAGCATTTTTATAAACAATCTCATGGTCTTATCAGGCCTCATCTGTCCCTCACTGATGCAGCAGTGTTCTGAGGCCCAAATTTAGGACTTCAGTAGAAATGACACAATCATTAATTCTAGCCTGCAGGTACTTTTTGAAAACTGATTTATATACAGCTTTTGAAAAATGAAGGTAACATTGGTTTACAATACTGTATATGATTCAGAAATTTAAGATCTCGCTTCTTCAGATGCGTACAACCACGCCACCCCCACCCCCAAGCTTCGCCTAGTCATCACCAGTTGTTCATCCTATACAAACTTGATATACATATCTCTTGACTTGAAGTAATCATGAAAAATGGTAGATAGTGACTATTGCAGAGTCCTGTGCAATTTATTCATCAATAGGCTTTAGGCACAATGCTTAATGCAGCCACACTCCTTGCAGCTCAGACAGGGTATGTGTTTGTGTATATGAGTGTGTGCGTGTGTGTGTGTGCATGTGCATGCTCCTGTTGCTAGGAATAGAGAAGGAAATTTGTAACACAAACCAGAGAGAAAATATTTTGCACTTGCCAGTCAAAGGTGTTCTTTGGCAAGATCATTTATATTTGTATGTGAGTCTGATAACACACACACACACTCACACATGCATGTGCACACACACAGTTATGTCTCCATTCTCTTAGGAATTTTCCATAGTTTCTACACAGTATAAAATAAATAGAGAAGAAAACTAACAGGTTTCAAACTAAATTTGGGAAGGGAAATGCAACCATTTCTACTGTGTCACCGTATGATAATAAGGCAGTGTGCCATGTGACTGCCGTCTTTCTCAACCATCTCCATTTGTCTGGGACTGGGACATTTCCCTAGAGGCAGAATTGCAGTGCCCAGACTGGAAAAGTTCTGGGCAAACTGGGATGACTTTATCATCTTACCTTTTTTTTTAATTCTTCCAGAGGGCCTTACCTTCTTTTTCTTAAACCTAAAATGGTTGGCTACTTTCCAATCAAATATGACCAGGTTTTCTGTAGTGATTTCACTGGTTCTGGCCTTCTGATATGTTGCTGACTACTCCATGGACTCCTCACTCCTTCTTAAAACCACTCTCCTATCATCCTCCTTTCCACTGTTCTTATTTGCTTTCTTCCCCATTGACAGAGCAGCTGGGGTACAGCGTTCACCCTTAAGTTTGCCATTTTTGTGTTTAATGACCATAAAATAATCACTAATACTTGTGTGTAGTTTCCATGTCTATTTTCTTGTTTTCTTTTTTTAAGATTTATTTATTTATTTACACAAGCACTGGATACAGTCAGAAGCGCAGGAGGGTGAGAGAATTCACCAGAGCCAGAGCAGGGAACAGAACAGGCAGACTGACAAAATACACTGCTGAGGGGAGTAGGTGGCGGCAGGAGAGGTCTGCGCACCATGTGGGACCCTCGCCGGTGGTGGGGATTGAACCTGCGCTGCAGAGGCTGTGGGCAGCTTTGCAGCCCAGCACTCAACCGCTGCACCACCAGGGAGGCCCTCCATGTCTATTTTCATTCAGAAATTCATATTTTTACTATACTGATGGGCCATATTTTTATGATTTGGATTCCAAATTGAAGCACTAAATAGAGGATAAGTTTTATGATATGATTCGAAAGACCCAAAGTAACCAGCACACCAGAGCTTCTGAGCAGCATGTCTTGATGCTTATTTCCCCAGAGACTAAGTGGGGGAGACTGATTCTTCATTGAGGTGATAGATCCAAAGTGAATGTATAGCTCAGCTACATAAATGTTGTTTCCCTACACTCTCACTGACATCATAATTTGGGGACTATGGCCAAAGTACCCCAGAAGATTCTGTCTCATCATCATTACAACCTAGAAGAGAGCTTTGAAATGATCAGGTGTAGCTTACTCACTTGTTTAAAATATAAATTATTTATATTATTTTACATCGTTGTTCATTTTTGCACAATTTTTGCTTACTCAAGTGTTAGTTGGAAAAAAACAGATCCACAGAGAACAAGGGGATTTCTAATGTAAAAGATCTTATTAGTGGCAGAGCAGGGAACACCATCAGTCCAGATACACAGCTTCATTCTGCATTTTAGACTAGGAAAGGAGAAAAGAGGAAAACCAGGAGGTTAGAGTGATTCACAATCCACTCTCTGCAGGAAACAGGCTTGAAACAACTTGGTAAAATATTTGTTTTCACCTTTTCCTCTTTGACTATTTTGCAGAATGAAGAACTTATCAGTGACCAACATTGGGGTCACTGACTTCCACATTTTTTTATTTTTGTTCATCATTGCACATACTTGGCCCCCTTTTCTAAGATTTCATTTATTCATGCATACAAGAACCGGGGTACAGGCCAGAGGTGTGGGGGGGTGAGAGGATTCACCAGAGACAGAGTGGAGAACAGAACAGGTGGATCGACTGAAGTACACTGCTGAGGGGAGCAGCAGGCGAGACAGGTGAGGTCTGCTGCGCCATGTGGGTAGCTCCCTGTCTGCGGATTGAACTCGTGCTGCAGTGGCTGCGGCAGCTTCATAGTGCTGCGTCTTAACCCCTTGAGCCCCCCTAAACATTTTTAAATTAGCCTTTTATTTTGGAATAAACATTTGATACAACAAAAAAGTTGCAAAGGGCCTCCCCTGGTGGCATAGGGGGTTGAGCGCCGTGCTGTGAGGCTTTCTGCAGCCTCAGCAGCGCCGGTTCGATCCCGGCAGACCAGCGAGGGTCCCACATTGCGCGGCAGACCTCTCCTGTCTTGCCTGCTGCTCCCCTCAGCAGTGTGTTTCATTAGTCTGCCTGGTCTGTTCCCCGCTCTGTCTCTGGTGAATCTTCTCACCCTCCCGTGCATCTGGCCTGTACCCCGGTTCTTGTATAAATAAATAAATAAATCTTTAAAAAAATAGTTGCAAAGATATCACAGAGAGTTTTTTAATGCTTTTCCATTCAATCCTCCCTAAAAATAAGAAATCAACACTGGTAGACTATAATTGAACTGCAGATTTTCTCTGACTTTCACCAGTTTTTCCACTGATGTTCCCCCACTTTTTTTCTTGCCAGGACCCATACACATTTCATTATTGCATTTAGTCACCACACCTCTTTATCTCCTTATATCTATGATCATTTCAAAGTCTATTATCTTTATAGATTTGAGGAGGACCAGTCAAGTATTTCGTAGAATATCCCTCACTTTTAGGTAACCCAATATTTTTCTTGTGGTCAGATTGGATATTGGGTTTAAGGGGAAATCCCAGAGGTGATTTTTTATGCCTTCATCTCAGGGTTTCATGGTCATCACTGGGGAAGTTGAGTTTGGTCACTTGGTTAAGGGTGTGTCTGCCAGGCTTCTTTATACTGTTTCCCTTTTTGTGCCTTATTAGTGGGGTGTGAATCACAAGGTCCAGCCTGCACTCAAGGGGAGGGAGATGAAGCTATAAGCTTATCGTGTATTAGACTGTTCTTGTCTGCCTGACAATTCCTTCATTTTGGTTTCTAAACTGTTCCACCACTAGATGGACCTCATTTGTTCTGACAGTTTTCTACTCTTTTCCTAAACACTTTCTTTCCCTTGTCTTGCAACCAGCTCCCTAAAACTTTCTAATTTTCATCTATTCTTTATGTCCTCGCTGTTCATCTGAACAGCGAGTTCAGATCTGAACATGGGTTCATCTGACTTTGTCTCCATCTAAAATTTAGATGGCATATCCCAGCTATTTACTTTCCCCAGTTCCCTCAATTTCATTTTGAAAGATGTGTGTTGGGTTCAAAAGTAATTCATGAAAGAAAAAGAAGCTAAATTTAGACAAGAAATAAAGAGTTAAAGTAACTCTGCTCACAAGCTCACAATTGACAGGAGAGTGGCACAGTGATGTGACAGTTCCAAGAATGTTCAGGGACATGCAGAGACCCTTGGGAGAGTAGCCCCCCTTTAGTAATCTCCTTATATTTAGCTCCTAAAACATTAAATTGGCACCATGTGCATACACAATACATTTTTTTGTTAGAGTAGAGACATATAGATGTAGATTGTTATAAACACACACTGATTTCTGAATAGCAAACACATCGCAAGAGCAAAACACTAAGGAAACCAAACCTTGGCAGTGGGACCTCCCAGGAGATGCAATAATTCAATGTCTGGGTTTGAATCCCAGCTCAGCTACTTACAAGCTGGGTGATCAGAGGTGAGCTTCTACTTTTCTGTGTCTGTGGGTGTAGCATACAAAGCTCCTTTCAAGTTAGGAAGAACAGGAAACTTGATTGTCCTGGGGCAATGCTGATATATTTTGCACCCCGGGGACTGATCAGTCGAACACCTTGTTAATAAGATTGGAGCCATGGGTGAGAGTTAGGTGCATACTCACCCTCCCTAAAGCTGATAATCCAGTGTAAGTTTGACCTACCCTTCTCTGCCAATGAAAAGGCGAGGATCTTGCTCTTGAGCAGCATCCTGCAATCTACAACCTGCTCCACAACTCCTGTTTCTTTTCTTTACCACTGCGGTGTTGCTGACACAATATGTGCCATGAGCCCATCTATAAGATGCATATATTATCAATGTGTATGATCCAGAGAGGTTGTGAGAAATAAGTGATCTGTTAAAGTGTCTGGAAATAACAAAAATTCAGTGACTATTAGTTATTATTGCTAAAATTGTTCATGAAGGAATGGGTACTGTACTTTACCTAAAGCACTTTAATTTTAGAGCAGTTTTGGTTTCACAAGCAATTGAGAGGGAGATGAGATTTACCATACCCACTCTGTTCCCCCAAACACGGGACCTACCCCATTGTCAACACCTTCCAGCAGAGTGGGTCAGTCATTGCTATGATAAACCTACATTGGCCTCCACCATCTCCCCAAATCCATAGTAATGGTGTATATTGTATGGGCAAACATAGAATGTCACATGTCCATCATTATAATATCAAACAGAGTATATTCACACCCTAAAAGAATTCTCCATGCTCTGCCTATTCACCCCCATCAACATTAGGCTGGTATTTTAAAGTAAAATCATTCCATAATAAAAGCACCTGAGAAATTCACCCAATGAATTAACTGTAAAATATTAAGTTGTTCCTATGTGTACATAACTGCATTTCATCCTTTAAAAACAAATGTATATGCTCACTTTCACCTATTTTTCATGCTAAACTTTTTCTTGTGGTTTAATTTCCATAGTTAAAAATGTTTTGAAGAAAATGGCTCTTGAAAGGCAATAAATTGAAAAATTTTGGAAGTCAAAAGTTTTGGCTTTCTTTTCCTTGATATAGGTTAGTTCCAGGCAGAAGCTGCTCCCTGATGCAGGGTCCTGGCCTTTGGGCACACTGAGCAGGTTGGAGGCTCTGGCTTCTAAGTCTAGATTATGCAGATGACATCAGCTGGTGTCTAAATCTTTATCAACGATGATCTTTATCTATGCACAAGTTTGGGATTTTACAAAAGACAAATTAATTAAACCACATATCTTTGCCAATTAGCCTTCCTCCTCACTGGTAATTATGGACATGCATTATTTGTAGACATAGTTACCAACAACTCTTCTGCAAAGTAATTTCATTAGTGAATTAAAAATATCGTGTGTGCCTACAAGTAGCTAGCTGATCCCAAAGAACTGCTGAGTTGGGTTGCCATGTATTAGCTTCATTATGCAAATAGGTGCCCCAAGAGAGCCATTCCAAAGACTATTAGCCTCTCTCACCTTTAATAACCTAAGACCTCTGGTTCGTGATGTGTGCAGATGAAAATATGTTCCGCCTGTGGGTAGAGGTGTTATTCATGCAGAATTCTTTAGCTTCTTTTCCCTACACCGGAATTCTATTTTGGCAAGCCTCTTGGGTTTGGGTGTCAGAGAGATAAAAGCCTGCGAGTACTGCAGTAGCCTCTCGAGTGAATCTTGGTGACTGCAGAGGACCAAGTTACCCTTCTGAGTGGCTTGCCATCTTTATCTGTGAATAAGAAGACATCTCTTCTCCCCTGTTGTACAGCTGAGCCTGTTGCAAATGCTCTCATGTCTCTCCCTGAGTGGGAAACCTTTTAAAGGAGATGCTTTGTTTCCAAGTGAAAGTATGTGGAAATTGCCAGTTACATACCAGATGCTGCTTCTGGTACAGGAACAGCTGGTGCCCAGGTAATACAGGTCTTATGCAGATAATGCCTTTATCTGAAGAGTTTCCTGGCCCCTCGCAGCTCAGGGAGACCATTACCATTTAGTGACTAGAATGGTCTCTTGCAAAAGTGAAATACAATCTTACAGCCTTTGGAAAAGGCATTTGCTTCACGAGGGTGTCTGCTGACATCGAGAAGGTGTGATAGTTCACAGGCCTGAAATAGTTACCCTGGGTATTCCCAGAAGTTAATCATCAGTAGCTTCAACCTTGGAGAAGTTCAAGAATGCTACCAGTGTGAGTGACTGTTAATTCTGACAGACAAGATTTGCAGGCTTTGCTGATCTACTAGTTTAACTAGTTAGTGACTTCTAAAGAAAATAAATTGAAAATGTGTGGTTCCCCCCACTCCACTTTTATGCACCCAGATGTCTGTTAAGTATTCTCGACCATAAGGAGTTTTTGAGGACAAGGGGACAGACTGTCTTTTTGAGAGCCTCCAGGGTAATGTGTAGTGCATCTGAAATTCTTAGCAACCTGGCTCATGTCATGCTAATGGCAATCTGTGGCTAAGGAGTACCTAGAAGCTGTGATAGTTAGCATGTCCCGGGTATTTAAAAAAATGCCAAAGACCAAGAAAAAAATGGATTGAAATCACGAAGCACTGGGGAAAGAGATGGTTAAATTTGTGTCTTTTATTATCTACTTTTAATGATTTCTTTTATTTCATCCTATGGTTTTCTTATCTCTTATTTTATACTCTGTGGCATCATCTTTTTCTCCACTTCTCCCCATGGATCTGCCCTTAGTAAGTTGCTGTGTTCATCATTTTTTCAGATACTAAAAAATATAGTAGCTCCACACCACCCCCTCTTTCTTTGTCCTAGAGGCTAAGGCTAAGTTTCCTTCCATGAACGTTTTTTGTGCCTCTTTGCTTTTATCCCCTTTTACTTGTATTTCCCCTTACTTGTTCTGACTTCCACTGATGCCTGTTTGTTTTCTTTAGGTTTTCAAACTTGAATGATCATTTCATCACTTTTTTAATATTCTTTTCACCTCACATCTACTCTCTTCAAGGTTTTCCACTAACACAATTGCTTTAACCTTAGGACCTCTTCTTCAGAGGTGCAAAACTGAGGCACAGATAGCGAGTTTCTCTAAAATCATATGGTAGAATAATGGAAAAGTGAGAACCTTTCTCAAGAGAAATGATTAGCCAAGCCCCTCCAACCCAGTATTAAATGAGACCCCTTGATAATAGCATAAGCACTGTAGGGGCAGGATGGGCACAGTGCAGTTTTTCTGATCCAGCAGATGCATAAAGGAGAGTCCCGGAGCCCTCAGTGGCTTTCTCAGGCTTTTATTGAGCTGTACATGTAGTGTGGCAAACAGGTACATGGCAAGCAGGGGTACTAGGGGGCCAGGAGGCCAGGAGGCCTCTAAACCCCCAGCAAGTCTTCACTCTGCGCTTTGCTGGCTTCTTTTACCCCTTCTCTCTCCTGCTTCTGCTTCTCCTGGTGACTAAGTCACTACTCCCCCTATGGCCCACAAAAGTAAACATGATAGTTTGAAACAGTGTAACAACTGCAGGTGCCCCATCAGGCAGGGCAATCCTAATGGTGGGAGGGCAGAAAAGCCTGAAAAACCATTTACCCTACAAGCACCATCTAGGAAGTGGTTACAAATGCAAATGCTCAGGCCCTGCCCAGTCCTACTGATTTAGCATTTGCAATTTACCAGGGCCCTGGTGATCATGCAGACATTAGTCTGAACATCTGCTAACTAGAGCTCCCTGGACTTTTCTCTGAGGAGACTGCACAGTACCCCTCGCCTGCGTCGCTTCTGGCAGCTTCCTCCTGTGTCCTGGTGGCCCCCACTGAAGTGTCTGAGAAGAATACGGACATAGGCCAGGCCTTGGCTTCAGTGTTTGTCTGATCTCTTTTCTGGAATTTGGATTTCAGAGAAGCTGCATTTATACTCTCAAGTAACTAATGAGAAAGCAAGAGGATCATTTTTCCCAGAGAATTAATTTTCTTTGTGCTTATTTGTTTGTGGTTTGCTGGTTTAACTTTGTCATCTGCTACCTCGGTGGTGACCACCATACAGGCATCCTAGTTATAATTGTTTTTAGTTGGCATCTGTTTCTTTGAATGTATTCTGCAGTTTTCCAAGCACAGAGTGAAATATACCCAAGTGCTTCAAGGGATATTTCAATATCCAAAATGATTTCTATTGTTTCCCCAAACTGTAATAAAAGAGGTGTTATCTCCTTCATTCCCTTGACTGGATTTTAAATTTAGAGGAAGACCAGCACATGCATTTGACAGCTGGAGGTGTAAAACAAAATCTATTTGATATCAAAATCGAAATGAATCACTGGCATAGGAAACAGTTATGAATGTTTTCTTGTGTGAGAAAGTGTTGTCAGATTTAACCACTATCATATCAGTGCATGTGGAAGGCACACACCCCAGTTTAGGATTCCATAGGAGAGGAACAGAATAATGGTGAAAAGTGGGTGTTAGAGCAATTTCTAGGTAGAGAAGGATGAAGAAAATGAAATGAACCTTGAGGGATCAAAAAACACGCTTTTGGATTAAATTTTTCTTTTTCAAATAAATATCCTTTTGATTTGAAAGACTGGAAGAGGTTGTAATTTAGGACAAGTCAAGATCTTGCCAGTGACTGCAGAGCTCAGTGGTCTGAGAGTGATTTCATTTCATGCGCCTGGATGTTTGCAGCAACAGAGAGCAAACCCCCAAAGGAACATTTTTCAAGTGCATGGGAGAGAGTCCATGTCCCTACTACAGTGTGGCAGCCTCTGTCCTGTATGACCTGAACCAGACTCAGAGCTGCTGTTGCTAAGCACCATGACCACCTTGCAAGCCGGTTTCCAGAGGCCCATCTTCTGCAACTCTTCTCACGCCACAGACCTGAGTATCAAGGTAAGTGATAAAATTATCACTGTCAGTGACCAAGCCCACCATTTCTATCACTAATATAATAGAGAGTCTGAATGTGACTAAAACTTCAGACATGTATGAGGTTCCCATCTTCAGAAATGTGCAGAAAAGATAGCCCCCCCCAAAACCAGACATAACTCTAATCTCCTCCCTCATCACACACAACTTTAACCCTCTTCACTAAAGCATTGCTGACTAAGAAACAGATGGGAAAGTAAACACCAAGTAACTGAAAACCTGGCACAAGGGGGATAAGAAATGAAGGTCGGGCTTCCCTGGTGGCACAGAGGTTAAAGACAGCGCTGTCAAGCTATCTGCAGCCACCGCAGCATGAGTTTGAGCCCCAGCCAGAGAGATACTCACATGGCACAGGAGACCTCTCCTGCCTCGCCTGCTGCTCCCTTCAGCAGTGGATCTCAATAGATCTGCCTGTTCTGCTCCCCGCTCTGTCTCTGGTGAATACTCTTACTTCCTGCACCTCTGGCCTACACCTCAGTTCTTGTATGCATAAATAAATAAATCTTTAAAAACAAAAAAGAAATGAAGGTCGATGGGCTCCTCTGTCCCCACCCCTCAGACTCATCACCTTCATGTCCACGAGGGGAAGGTAATAGTCCTTTAGACCCTCGTGGTCTCATTACCCTCCTAACCACATGGGGAAAGGGAAGATAATAACGTGTTCCTCAGAAATGGTTCCTTCAGCTTGGCCGGCAGCTGTTTTCACTCATATTCTCACTTTTGTGACCTTCTGGAGAAAGACCTTCTACCCAACCTGTGATTTCCTCCTACTGCTGATGATGTATTGCCCAGGTCTGCTAAAATTCTTTAGCAGTTATCCATGAGGATAACCTTACAATGATAGAAAGTTATGTAACTTCTGGAAGGCAAGACAGAAGGCATCTTATTTCCACTTTGCTGTGTTGATACATTTACCTTCCCTTCAATTTTGAAATTCCTAAGCTGTGAACGAAAGCATGTTCTTTGACGTTTGTGGTAATGCTATTGTTAGCTCAGTCTTTATTGTTTAGGAGGTGCAAATTGAGCTATTTGAGAGAAAAATATAAATTCCCTGGCTTCCATGTTATATCTATATACAGCTTCACATTTGAAAAAGAGGATTGTCTTAGAAGCTAAAATGATATTTCAGTTGAAAATCTAAGTCAAAAATTCACAGTGATTCCCAGCAGCGTAGGGTGAGGAGCTTTCTATGTATTTTACATGGGGAATAGCCTAGAATAGGTTTATGCTGCTCTAATTTCATTCCCTCTTAGAATTACCCGCTACTCACTTTTGAAAATTGAAGAAATAACGTGTGCTTAGAGCCGTGGCTGCCATGCAGAACAGTTGAGGTGCATGTCGATGGTATCTCAAGCTAAAATAATTTTCTGCTTTAAGTCTACCTCTTTTACATCTTATTTTCCCTTTTGAAGACCTCCATATATCCTTGAAATGTCTTTCTTGAAAGAGAATAATGAAAAATGACAGTATTCTGAAATTTGATTGATTCACTGCTAAGATCGTGGATCTTGGGTGTGCGTGGAGGGGGGATGTAGAGAGAGGTTAGTGTCCCTCCCGCCTGCTTTTCCATTGACCCCTTCTAATGCTGGCCCTGAGCAAGTGTCATGTTCATATCAGTGACTCCATGTCCTGGTACCTGTGGGAGAAATGTTTCATGACCACTGAAGTTCCCATATGGTAGAGATTTTTAAATGCTAAATTCAGGGAAGAGCCATAGAGTATACCACAATTGCCCCACTATCAGTGGTTTGTTTTATTCATCTATCCATCCATCCATCCACTCATGCATGCATTCATTCATTCTCCAACAAATATTGAGTGCTCAGGTATACTTCTTTTTCCAGGCCCTGGAAACACAGCACTGCACAAGCACAAAGTCCCTGCTCTATGAGGTTTACTTTCTAGTATGCAAATCAAACAATAGACAAAAATGTGTGAAGATGAGCTTTTTGTAGAAAAGCTAAAGCAGAGTAAGGGAGAGAACATGGAAGCTATTTTGGATAGTGTAGCCAGGTGAAGGTTATGTGAGTAATTGACATTTAGCAGAGATCCGAATAGAAATTGCAAATGAGAGATGATGAGCCATGCAGAGAAGTGGGTCTGGGAGAGAGCATTTTAGACAGAGGAGTAACAAATGCAAAAACCTGGGGGCAGGACTGAGTTTGATGTCTTAGTGCAGTGCAGTTCAATAAAAATATAATGAGAGTCACATGTGCAAGTAAATATTTTTAGTAAGCACAATAAAAATGTAAAAGTATAATTAAAATACAAACAACTGAAATTGATTTTAATTGTGTATTTAATCATTTAAGCATATGATCAATATAAATATAATGAATGTAGTATTTTGCATTCTTCTTACAACATTTTCGAAATCTAGTGCAGACTTTATACTGAAAGCACATCTCAACTCAGAAGCTAAATATTTTTGATTTCATAAAATGTATAATAGATTCAGTAGATCCATATATCCGTGCTGCCAATATCTACTTAGAGGTTTCCTTGTAATTAAATAAGTTCCCATTTTTTTAATTTAAATTTGAATTAATGAAGAGTAACTAAAATAAACTCATTTCCTCATTTCATTGCCACATTCCTAGTGCTCTGCAGGCTCACATGACTTGTGGCCAAGTGGACGGTGAAAAAGGGCAGCCGAAGAAGCACAAAGCAAATGGAGAATTAGACAAAGATCAGATGACAAGGGGCTTTTTAAGTCCTGTTTGAATTTAATTTGACTTATGATAGGGGGGTCTTTAAAGGGTATAAATGGGTGAAGGACATAAGCTATTTTTTAAAAAATATTTATTTATGCATACAAGAACTGGGGAACAGGCCAGGGGTGTGGGGGGAGGTGTGTGTGAGAGGATTCCTCAGAGACAGAGTGGGGAACAGGACAGGAGGATCTACTGAAACATACTGCTGAGGGGAGCAGCGGGCAAGGCAGGAGAGGTCTGCTGCACCATGTGGGTAGCTCCCTGGCCAGGGATGGAACTCAGGCTGCGGAGGCTGCGGCTATCTTTATAGGTTGCATTTTAACCCCTTGCACCACCAGGGAGGCCCCAGGACATAAGCTATTTGTGCTTTAAAGGGCTTTACTTAAGCCTTGGCAGGGCACAATGGAAGCCTGGAGACCTGATAGGAGACCATGAGGTACAGAGGTGGGGGATGAAGGTGGCAAGGACTAGCCCTCCATGGTGCAGGGGTCAGAAGTTGTTGGTTTCAGGGAATATTCTAAAGGTGGAGTTGAAATACTTGTTACGGGGTTGTTGCGACAAAAAGGAGTAAAAATGACTCCTAGGATTTTTGCCTGAGAAGCTTCCGTGCATGGTGGTGCCACTGTAAAGATGGGGAATAACCAAGTGGTTGTTTCATATTGGGGGTGGTGATTTGGACAAATTCAGTTAGATTTGCCTATTAATCTTCCAAGTGGATAGCTGAGTTTTGAATTCAGTGGGAAAAGTTAGGCCTGGAAATACACATTTGGTGGTTACCACAACAGATGGTATTTAAAGTTTGAGTGAGATCATCCAGGCACAAAGGATACACAGGAAAAAGAGCAAGTCTGAGAAGGGAGTCCCAAAACTTAGATGGCAGGAATGGAAGATGAAGTCAGCAAGGGCAGTAAGATGGAGTGGATGGTGAAATAAAAGGGAAACTAGTAGAGTGTGACATTTTAAAGCCAAGTTTACTTGTCATTTTTGGAGAGAAAAAGGTAATGTATTCAATAGAGGATTTGAAGAGAACCTAACAATTGGAGTCTTACAATGATGTGTTTGGGGTATAGAGAAGATCCAAGGAAATAGTCCAAGGGGTGGAACTGGGGTGATAATAGCTGGTCCAGATCCAAGGGGTGGGACTCTGGTGATAAAGCTAGGTCTGAAGGGACAAGGAGAGGCAGAATGAGAGAGCGAAGGAGAGGGTGAACTGCAGGAGGAGTCAGCTCACAGGAATGTGCCATTGGGTTGAAGGATACCAGTCAAAACAACCTATCAAGAAGGAAACAAGGGGGCCTCTCCGGTGGAGCAGGGGTTGAGCACTGGGTTGCGAAGCTGCCCACAGCCTCTGCAGCACCGGTTCGATCCCCGGGTGCTCCCCGGCCACCATTGGAGGGTCCCACATGGTGCGCAGACCTCTCCTGCCGCCCTCTGCTCCCCTCAGCAGTGTACTTCGGTCCTTCTGCCTGCTCTGCTCCCCGCTCTGGCCCTGGTGAGTTCTCTCACCCTCCCATGCTTCTGACTGTACCCAGTGCTTGTATAAATAAAATAAAAATAAAAATAAACCTATAAAGTGAAAAAAATTATTAAAAAAAAGAAGAAGGAAACAAGGAAATTGATAATCCATCTTCTTCCATCTTCCCATGTTCTTCCACTGGTCAAATTCATCCAGAAAGAACCCTGCTACTTAGTCTATGCATCAATCTCCCAGGCTATCAAGCAGCATGGAGAAGGACAAGGAGTGAATTCAGAGGGGCAAGTGGATGACATCCATCTCACCAAGTGAAGAAAGCTAATAACAGGATTATAAATGAAGATTATATGAAACAGAATCTGTCTCTAAGTTTATATTTTTCTTATATCTTCATTGAAAGACATTCTTAGCATGAGGCACTAGATCCCAGAATCTGGAGAATCTGGAGATTCTGAATCATTGCCCACATATGTCGCCTCGTTTCTATCTTCTATCTTTTCCACTTCTTCCTACACCACATAGCCTTATTCTATTTTCTTCCTCTTCTTCTTTCATTCCCCCTTTTTTCTCTTCCTGTCATTCAGTCTTTCAGACTCTTAGTTTACTCAAGTTGATCCAAGGTCAGTACTGAGACTAGCTTAAAAACAAAACAATGTTTAACTGTCACATATCCCAACTAAGCACACAGAGGAAAAGAATAAGTATCCAAGATTACATATGGATCAAGAGTAGTTCTAATATATTTGCATTGTAAAACAATAATCTTTTGTTTCTAG